TAAATACTTTTTACCAGTATAAAGTTGCATATTTTAAAAAAAATATGCATTTCTCTTGAATTTGAAAATTATTTTTATCTTTATTTTTCTACTAATAAAAGTGATTTTACCTCTATTCCATTATTTATTTTTAACAAGTGTTTAAAATATTTGTAATAAGCATCAAATCTGAATGATTAGTATAACATTGATATTATAAAAGTTTAAAATATTTAAGAATACAATTTTCATTTGAAATTTTTTTTCAAAAAAGAGATTTTGTATTGAAACTAGCAATTCATGAAACTTGCACTCCACATTATAAAGATTTGTTTAAATGGAAACTTAATTGTAATTTTAAAAATTTGCTACAAATTTAGTCCGCTATAGTGCTGTTACTGCGATGATGATGAAAATGAAAACCATTGAAGAAGAAATATTACCAGATATATAAAATATATTTGGCAACGTGAGTCCCTATTGAGCATTGAGGCTGAGGTTCAGTCCGATGTTTTCTTCGTTGAAGATACTGTTTCAAAACACGAGGAGCCTCGATGGCGTTTGTGAGGTTCCAACTCATGCCTCGTTAATCTGGTACATGGTGGAATTTTTCCTGGTTTTCCCCCATTTAGTAAGCAAATGTGGGATAATTCCCCATAAAAGTCCTCCTGAAAGGCATTGACCTCCTCATTTAGTGTCACGTAGCCGAGTCAGACTACTACCTACGGGTTCTCCATCATAACAGAAGCTACCCTCTCCCTTCTTCCATGTGGGCACACGGATTGGTAGACTTGATCTAGATGTTATTGTCTACCAAGTGGGATAATTTTATTTATTTCTAATCCCGACTCATGGCTCAGTGTTAATGTGCATTAGAGCGGAGGTTCAATTCACTGGCGACTTTATGGCAGTCACTGTTCCAAAGAACGAGAAGACTATTTGTGATGTAGGGCCTGAATGGCCGAGTGTCTAGCGCTCTGGCGCTCGAAACCACAGGTTTCGGGTTCGAGTCCCGGCGGTGCCATGGATGTTTGTAGTGCTCCGGAATCCACTTTAAACCGTAGGTCCCGGTCTAATAGGATCGTAGAACGTTGCGGGGGCATTGTTACTCCGCGTCCGTGGCTTATCTTCAAGCTACGCTTGCCCCCTGGGTAATGCAAAGTGAGTAACGTCTGTGCAGCGCTTGTCTTAAGGCATCCAAGACCAAGCTGTCTAAATGTTTGCCAGCTGCATTAGAAAGAAAAAAACTATTTGTGATGTTCAGCATCTTGCCTTATTCGTCGGACTAATTGGTGGATGTTTTCCGCGTTTTGTCCCTTTTGATACTCTGCAAACTGATGGCCAATTGGCCAGAACTCTGGCCTTTGGTATCATGAGCATCAGGTTCGAATCTTGGCAGTAGTACGGATGTGTGTAGTCATTCAGAATTCACTTTAAATTGTTAATCCTGGTGTTTTTAACTCTCGTGTGCACAAAATGACTGCAGAGCGACAAAAAAAACTTAACCCTTTTGATACGCAAATTCGGGGTAATTCCTCCTAAAAGTCCTCTCGAAGACACTGCCCTCCTTCTGCAGCGACACGGAGCCATTCCAGACGTCTACCCCTACAGGTGCTCCATCACAACAGAAGTTGCGAATCCTTCCATGAATGCATTACTCATGGGGTGTTTGTCTCATATAGCACGACACTGAGGGTTAGACATATTAAAATGGCCTATAACACTTAATGTAATATATTTCGATTCATTAAACATTAACTTATATTTTATAAAATAATTCAAAATCGGCCTTTTAGACTCTAATTTTATTTATTCCATTAAAACAACCTGTACTTTTCAAAAACATTTTTTTTCTCTGTCCCTTTCTTACTCAACTCAAACTCAAAGGACATTTCAGAAAATAACCAAGTTATAAAAGCTCGAAAAACAAGAAAAAAAAAAAAAAAATAAACGAATAATTTCAAAGCACGACAATTTTTTTTTTTTTTTTGCGGTCTTTTAAACTTTTTTTTTTTTAAAGAAACATTTTTATCCGGAAAGTACGGTAAATTTATTTTTCCGTGCTTTTAAAAAAAGAATCAACATTCTTTTTTTATTTCTATAATCCTTGTAATATTAAACGGTTTGTGATTTCCCTAAAAAGCTACAAAACGAGTTCACATGATGGATGATTTTTGTGAATAAACTTAACTCTGATCCCTTTTCAGAAAATTTTTGATGAACTGAAATGTGTTTGTTTTCAATACTGCATTCATCTGAAGACTAAGAGTTGCATAACCCATTATTAACCCCTTAAATTTGAAAGAAAAACCTCTGAAAAACACAGATACTTTCGCAATGACAATGGATTTTAATGTTTATTTTTTTTTTCATGTTATGTATTCAAGTTTTTCTTTTCGTTACAAAATCCTTTTAAAGTTAAAATGGGTATAAGTAATTAATTGTGTCCATTTTTCCGTTTTAACTCCGGAATTTTATTTTTGACGTAAAAGTTTCCAGTAATAAATCATCGCTACGTACTGTCATAAAAAAATGCTAAAATAAGTTAAAACAAAAACATTATTTTTTTTTAATTGTGCATTTGATGCATGAATTGAAGACTGGCATACAGTATGTTTTTATATTAGTGAATTTTCTGGTAAAAATGGCACAAGATATCGCATTAAAATAAATGTATATTTCTACACGTAACTTCATTTGCATCAATTATTCTGGTTTTAGCGATTTTTCAATGAATACATTTAAATAAACTGTTATGGTTTTATCTAGTTTTATTAGAGCTCAATCCATATAAATTCGGCCACTTGCCGTAGGAGAAAAAAGAACATATAAACAATTCAAATTACAAAGTGTAAAATACCAGACATTCGTAACAAAATGAACCAAACGGCCTTAAAAACTATTACAAATAAGATAATTGTTCTAAGGATAAAAATTTAAAAAGCAGAAGCACCAAAAAAAATTTTTGATCACGGCATATTTTTTCTGGTCCTCCCTGTAAAGAGTACACAAATCATCATTCTGTTGTAAGTTAAGAATCCAGTCCCGAACAAACAAGTAGATGGGCCTTATTCATTTTCTCTTTCTCACAAAAAACACATATATCAGAGTTCATAATATCTATTTTAACTAGGTGTTCTGCCAGATCATCGTGTTCTGTTCTTTATAAAAAATTGTGCAACAGCCTCTTTTTTTCCGCTAAATTTTTTCCAGTCATCTCAGATTGTGTCCCAGATTTTCCTTTAGTTTCGATAATTATTCACTGATATACGATTATTTAATTTTATCCTATATAATTATCCTAAAAAGGACAAGAGAGATAGTACGCCGTATAGGAATTTCTTATATTTAAATAAACTTATGGATCTGATGGCCTAATGACTGGCACTCTGGCGCTCGGTGTCACACATATACTTCATATTTTTAAATATCAATTTAGTTTAAAACTTTCGTCTATATCCTATAATAATCCATATATTAACATATATACCGTATTATAAAATATATATTTAATTGGAGCTTTTTGCTATATTGATTTATTTGCCTCTATGACTTGATTGTCTATGTCCTTTTAAATTAAAAACGCAATTAACACTGAAATTGTTAATTCTCCTTCGCTTGCGAAATTAAGTAACTTTTCAAACAATACGATAAAACTTAAAATGTTCAAATTAGTTTCAGTCAAAAGTATGTCAAAAGGAATTAATCACAACAGTAAAAACAGAATGCGCTTAACGTCAAATCATAGTCAGTAATTAAAATAATAGTTAAATTCACCACTAAGAAAGGCCTTTTTTTATTCGTCTAAGAAACAAATGGATCTTTGAATTAGGGAAAGAAAAAGTGAATGAATGTCTTTCAATAGAATGAAAAATAAAAATCAAGTAAAAGAAAGCCACCTAATATGATCATTAGAGTTTTTAGATTTCCAATTTTATTGACTTTTCTAATACTTGGTGGTCCATCTCATCACTTTGAGTACACGGAAACCGTTACTGAAAGTTCACAGTTATCAAGTTTTCCACATTCCGCTTTAGGCGACAGCTGAAGAATTATTTTCCTTTTTTAAACCATTCTCTGACCATTTTTAGAATATTTTTTTTTTATTCTCTCGTACTCTTTCCTTCACTGGTTCTTTTTTCTTTTATACCAGCAGAAAAATTCAACGGACTTTTTAGAAAGTAATTATCCAAAGACTTTTCACCAAACCAAAAAAACGAATGAAAATTTTATTTTATTTTATTTACTTTTTTTATATGTACATGAAAGATAAAGACATGCGCTGTCTACTGTTTATTAGACAGACGCCACTATTAAATGGGCGAGAAATATGTGTTGTTGCAGTTTTAAAGCAATGGAATTTCTTCTTTGTCTTTTTTAATGTGTTATGTAGAAGAAGTATAAGAAAAATGCATCCAATTTCTTTTGTGTTTTGTTTTAAAAGCGTTTCTGTTATAAGAAAAGAATTCGCTGTATTTTGCATTTTTTAATTTATTTTGTCATCAGAACGTGTTTTTTTCATTTATTTTTTATATATGAGAAAGGACCCGAAACTGAAAATAAACATTCAAATTGTTAAATGTCTGAAGGGAAAATGGATTTTTCCGGAAAGCTTTATGAGATAACTGAGCATAAAAGGAAATAACGCATACCATATGAAGCAATTTATGAGTATTTTGGGCATCAAAACTTTCAAAATCTTGATTTGATGCGTAGTAAATAACTTAAAATACTGTTGTTGTTGTTGTTTCTTATCCCACTTGGCTGGCCAAGCCCACGAGCCCATATGGACTCATGATTGAAGGGGAAGGAAGCAGCTTCTGTTGTGATGGAGCACCCGTAGGTAGAAGCCTGACTTTCGCTCCGTGACGCTCTTACAGTCATAGAAGACCGGGACCTACGGCTTAAAGTGGATTCCGAACCACTACAAACATCCATGGCACCGCCGGGATTCGAACCCGAAACCTGTGGCACCGAGCGCCAGAGCGCTAGACACTCGGTCATTCAGGTCCCAAATTTGCCAACGGCACGCGGTGTTTCCAGGTGGTCACCCAAAGTACTGAAATTGATGCTTGACTTCGGTGATCTAACGAGAACCGGTATATTCAGCATGGTACGGCCGTTGGCACTTAAAATACTGCATTGTATAATGTAAATTTTGAAAATATTATTTTACCGCAATATATGAAGGATGACAATGTTATTATGTAATTAACAAATATTACATTTACAAAATTACGTCAACATTCTATAATATATTTTTTATTAAATATGAACTATGGAAATGCTCATAATTTACAATTTTCGTGTCTATTTCTCAAGTATATGCGTTTTATTCACCCAAAAAATAAATAAATAACTATATAACTGTAATAAATATATAACTGCCAAATAAGAAAGATACAGTTTTAAAACAAAAAAAAATTAACGTAAAACGCTAAAAAAAAAAAAATTAAGTTGACATTTCAATCATTTGTAAATTAACAGTTAAAGTTACAATATCTTAAGTCACTGAAATTACATATATTAAAAGATCTCTTTTTATTTTGTTTTACTGTTCTTTTGTTAAATTACTGTATTCTAATATAACTATAAATTTAATGCAATTGCTTTACATTTAATACAATACAAACTTCAAATTGGATACAACTCTTGCTTTCCAACGACAGGGTTTTGATCCAACAGCATTTGTCGCTAGAAGTCAGATTTTTATTAGATTCAGTATAACTCAGGCTATATCTTGAGCAGTGACTCCTTCATTGCCCTCATATTTTACCCATGCAATTTTGTATAAAGTGACATAAGGGTTCTATCAGGGATGGAACACATTCTTAATTATTATACTTATTTAATTTTACATTTATTACATTCATAGCAATTCTAACTCAATTGCTGAATTTCTATATTTCTTATAAAGTATTTTTTTTTCCTAAGAAGATAAAAATATAACTTGAGAAAATTTGAGATTTTCGGAACTAATTTGGAAAGTAATGATTCTTTTATGAATTTCAAAAGACAAAATTTATAAATTTGTATTATTATGTAGAATCTAATTGAATACTGCTTATTTAATTATATTAACTTAAATAATTTTAATTATTTAAATAATGGCTCGTTATTTAATTTTCGAAATGAAAAAATGGTCATTTCTAAAAGTAGCATTATTAATAATACTTATATTATAGTTATTTCTCATAAATTATTCTAAATTTATTAATTTTTTTTTATCCAATTGATTTAAAATTAATATATCCTGAAAATCTGTAAATGCAGTTAAATTAAAACTAAAATAAAACTGCATTAAACTAAAAATGTAGGCAGTATTTTTAACATATCAATACAGATTTCTGTTTGCATTAATTTATTATTTAAATATACATTTTTTGAGGAATTCAAAAGTTCTTTATCTAATACCAAAGGAATTAAAGATATGAAAAAAAATAGAACGCATATTTAATATTAATAAAAATATTTCAGTAAAAAGTGAATAGTCAAATACTAAGAAATAATAAGAATAATAAGAATACTAAGTCAAAAATAAGTAAATAAAGTCCTTAAGATAAGAAATATTTCGAATGTTGTATTTATGTAACTCTTTGAAAAATTAATTATGAATCGTATTTCTCAAGGTGTATTAAATACTTTTCAAATGAAAATCGAAAATTTATTTTGAATTATACTTCACTATTTCTTCTCGGATTACATAAATATTTAATCGGGTTTTAGATCTTTTTTTCAAAAGCACTTTCCGACTGCAAGCGATATAAAAAAATTAAGATGAAAGTTGAGACAGAAATTTTCATCGTAATCGTAATCGCACGAGATGTTCGTTCCTCGAAGAACTAATTAATAAGTGCTATTAAAATTTTTTAGAGGTTCACACATTTATTTCATTATTAATTTATTAATTTATTTCATTTAAATCTCTTTTTATTTTTTAAAAGATTTCTTGTGATATTTCTTTTTCGCAATGCTTGAGGTGTGAATTAATGAATACCTTAGGTGATTCTGTTTTATTAAAGAGAATTCTAATATAACTCCGGATTATTTTGAAGCACGGCGGAGTTGAGAAGTTTTGGAATCTAAACGGAACAAAGCGATATTGTTAAAAAGAAGAAGATAGAGAAAGAAAATACTTTTCAATTTCCTTGGGCAATTAATGATTTTTGGGAAGGAACTTTTCCATGAAATCATTTCCATTCAATTGAAAATTTCTTTTGTGAGTTTGGATTTAGTTCAGACAAATTATTAAAAAAATTAATATAAGAAATCCCATACAGAAAAATTTACTGTAAAATGGCGTAGTGAGTAAATACTTTAGACCAGTATAAAGTTGCTGATTTAAAACAAAATGGCATTTTTCATAAAGTCTTAAAACTTATTTTATTTTTATTTTTCAACTAATAAAAGTGTTTTTACTTCTATTCCATTATTTATTTTTAAGAAATGTTTAAAATATTTGTAATAAGCATCAAATCAGAATGATTAGTATAACGTTGATATTATAAAAGTTTAAAATATGGAAGAATTCAATTTTAATTTGAAATTTTTTTTTTTAAAAAGAGATTTTGTATTAAAACTCTAGCAATTCATGAAAATTGCACTTCACATTATATAATTTTTTTTAATGGATATTTAATTATAATTTTAAAAATTTGTTACAAATGTGGTCCACCATGGGGACCATGAATGAAAACCATTGAGGAAAAAGAAGTAATACCAGATATATAAAAAATATTTGGTTTAATAATCGGTATCAATTTTAAAAAAGAAATTTGCTATTAGTTTATTTTTATTTTATAAGAAATGTACAAACGTGCACATATGAGTACAGTTATTGTTCGAAGCGAGGTTATTTTATTGAACGAGTATTCCTACTTGTATACAATTTGTGTAAGGACTTATATGGCCAGAATATATGAAAACGTTTCACTTTTAAATTACTATTAACGCCCAGCGGCCACAAATTTGTGAGTTATGGGGGTTTTTTACCTTATTTATTTTAATTTTTCAATTGCTATCAATATAAAATGAATAAGTCGTAATAAAACAAAATATTATACCAATTATTTCTTTATAAAGTATCGACAATGAAAAGTCCAAACTAAAATAAGTTTATTATAATTTGAAATATTACGAAACCTCAGAATAGTTTTCCTTATAAAGCGATTTTGAAATATTTAGTTATTCACTATCATATATAGATTCATATCATATACAGATTAAATCCTCTGGCGGAATTGTTGTACATAACGTTTCAAAAAACGAGGAGACTCGATGACGTTTGGGATGTTCAGCATCTTATCTCGTTAATCGCACTACCTCGTGGGAGTGTTTCCGCATTTTCTTCCATACCATACCCAAATGCGGAATAGTTCCCCCTAAAAGCCTTCCAAAAAGGCCTTGACCTCCATCTTCAGCTGCATGGAACCCAATGAGACTGCATCATATCAGAAGCTTCTTCCTTTCCCTTCCATGGGACCACACGGGTTTTTGGACTGCTGGTTGCTGTCTGCTAAATGGTATAACTTTATTTTATTTTTAAGCCTGAAAGTAATGTAATAAATTTTGATTTATTAAATATTAATGTACCTTTTACAGGGAAAAATAATTCAAACAAATCTGTCCTTTAAACTCTATTTATTCCTTTAAAGCAACCTTTCCTTTTTAAGATCGTTTTTTTTTATCCTTCCTTAACTCAAAAGACATTTCAGAAAATAATCAAGTTATAAAAGCTTGGAAAACGGGAAAAGAAAAAAGTAAACGAATAACTTCAAAGCATGACAAATTTTTTTTGCGGCTTTTTAAACTTTTTTTTAAAAAAGAAACACTTTTATCCGGAAGCACGGTAAATTTATTTTTCCGTGCTTTTAAAAAAAAAATCTAGATTTTTTTTTATTTCTATAATCCTTGTAACATTAAACGGTTTGTGATTTTCCTAAAAAGCTACGGAATGAGTTCACATGATGAATGATTTTTGTGAATAAACTTACACTCTGATCCCTTTTCAGAAATTTTTTGATGAACTGAAATGTGTTTGTTTTCAATACTGCATTCATCTCAGACAAAGACTTGCACAACGCATTGTTAACCTCTTTAAAAAATAAAAGAAAAACCTCATAAAAACACAGATACTTCTGCAATGACACTGGATTTTAATGTTTATTTTTTTTGTCTTTTATTTTCAAGTTTTTATTTTACATACGTAATCGTTACATACGTAAATACGTTAAAGTTAAAATGGGTGTAAGTAATTAATTGTGTCCATTTTTCCTGTTTTAGCTCCGGAATTTTATTTTTGACGGGAAAGTTTCCAGGAATAAATCATCGTTATTTACTGACATTAAAAAAATAGTAAAATAAGTTCAAACATGAACATTTCATACGCATTTGAGACCTGAAAGTAAACTGACATAGAATATGTTTTTTGAGTAGTGAATTTTCTGTTAAAATTGGCACAATGATAATTCGAAAATAGATATATATTTTATATATATATAAACATGTATGATAAGCAAAATTACAACCAACATGACAGATTCGTGGCTTAATGGCAAAGTGCCTCGCCAGTGGACATTAGGGTAAGGGTTCAAGCCGCTGGCGGTCTTTCTAGAAACTGTTTCAAAAAACGAGCTGTGTCGATAGTGTTTGGGATGATCAGCTCGTTAGTCTACGTGATGGAAGTTCCCCGCGATTTCTCCCTTACGATATGCACATGAGGGATAGTTCCCTGTAAAAGTCCTTCTGGAAGGCCCCACCCTCCTTCTTCGTCGGCATGGGGGCCAAGTCAGACTTCTACCAACGGGTGCTCCATGACAACAAAAGCTCCCCTCCCCCCTTCCTTCCATCCATGAGCAGACTACTCATGAGTTGTCTGCAGAACACTGATGTTTAGACACAACACACGTATCAAATACATTAAATTGGCTTATGGCACGTAATGCAATATGTTTTGATTTATTAAATATTACCTTGCAACGCATCTTACCAAGTCAATCGGAATACCTGATGAGAATATTTTAGTTTTTGTCCCATATGAAACGCAAATGCGGCAAAAAAAATATGCAAATTTAGTCTCTCTTAAAATTCCCCGAGAAAGGCATTGACCTAATTCTTCAGCGAC